CATAAAAAATCTTTAATTTTTAGATGCTAAAAAATTGAATATACTTCAGACCAATGTCACCAAGAATTAAAAATAAATTATACCAAGTTTTCGTAAATAGAGAAGCCTGTATAATTTTTTAAATATAAAATGAGATAATCCATGTTTTGTTAATTGTCCTGATGATTTCTTGTCTTCGACTTCTCAGTTAAATCTATTAAAAATTAATAAACGATACCACTTTCAAATTAAATCCACCCCCGTCGGGAACATCGAATGTTGCTAATCCGGTTCTAAAAACATCGATGTTTAATAACATCGATGGGTTTGGGTCATTGTTTTAATAACATCGATGTTAATCTCTGTTAATAACCATCTGTTAATTTTGAGAAACATTGATGATTTCATGGCGATATTGCATCTCTACCCATCAGTAGAGGGAACGGGAGATCTGTTTATTGGCTGAAAGAATCAGCCAGAATTAACCCAGAGTGCGCATGCTTGGGAGGGCGCAGGGAGTCGCGTGCTGCATGGGAGGTCGTTTAATACCCGCGAGCTCAGGCCGCAGCCAGGCCGGTGCAACGGACCGGCTTAGGTGGTTCAGGGCATCAGTCGATGTCACTGAAGTGCTCTGGCCGGGAGGTTCTAGGGTTCCACTCCCGACGGTGGCAGGATTTTCGACCCGAGCTGCACAGCTAGGTCCAATTCAGCTGCTGTTTGGACGGACGGCTGCTCTTAAATATTCCGTGGTTTATTCGATCAATGACAGGCGAATGCCGAAGCAGAAACCTAACAAACTGAGAGCGTAGGCTTCCGCGGCCGGAGTCAGCATTTACTAGGCTGTCCGGGTGACGCCGCGTCCATGGCGAAGGTAATATAGTAAATAGTACATACCTTCGCCGAATAGTAAATACCTTCGCCATGGACGCGGCGTCACCCGGACAGCCTAGTAAATACTAACAAACTGGCTACGGACCGCGCGCGATCTTTCCTTTCTCATTCTTGTTCTGTCATCACCCCTTACACTTACCTGTACATACACTATCATATATGTTGCGGGACCAATCTGGATCCTGAAGTTTAACCCAACTTGGGAGGAGACGACAGGGGGAGATGTGGTTTTAGAAAAAAAAAGATCGATGTGTAGGTCGGAGCTGGATGTCTCCAACCAGCATGAGAATATCACTGCCACCTCTGGCGATAAAAATATGCAGTATATTTATGAGATTAATGACCATTGCAGCTGACGCGCTAGGAGTTACTAATCAATCAATCTGATGCAACTGGACAGCACAGTGGGGCTGCTCAAAACAGGAGCACTGAGTGCGGATCTCTGCCGATACTCAGGAATGGTAGAGTGACGGTTCGAAAATATTTTGAATGGGTCTCGCGGAAAAAAAGTGTTACAAAATACGTATTTGACTCAAGAATATTTCATTATTGAAGTTATTCCTTATATATTTAGCAATTGGATGCAAGAAAATAATTTCAAACAACCAAAACCAAGGCAACAAAAACTGTAGTTGAGAGATATGATTGGAAGAGAAGGGATTCACAGCGCGAGCGTTGCTTCGTAGGTACGTTCACGCAATTGATAATCAGTTATGCTACTTGTCCCACAGCTTGACCAGTTCTAAAAATTAAATCGTAAATTCGAGGATGTTTAGAAGGCTTCCTTCATTTATATCTAAAATTTTTGTATGTTAACTACGCGTTCCAAAGTTGGCAACAGTTCAGAACGAATGTAGGAGCAACTTCCGTTGTTTGTGATTCAGACAATATATTCAACATGCGCTGTCGGTGGTTCTATTTTATGTAGTTTACGGCTGAATATTTTAAGAATTCCTTTCCAAAATAGGGGCCCTGGAATGATAAATGATTCGAAGTCGTAAAATGGAGAATGATTTCTTGGGTGGTTAAATGTAATATTCGTACTTATATGAATTAGAACTAAAACTTCATATTCCGCGTTAGTCAATTGTTGTTAGAAATCCCATTTAAACCTTCTACACCGGGGCCTCCGAGACCCATTCTCATACTCGAGCGATATCCCCAGCCTACAGCCCAAGTGCAAAATGTGAACACAACGTGGTCCCTGGGGATGAGCATTTCACATTAATTTTTGCTTCAGAAATTTAGTCTTTAAAAGATCTGTATGAATCAGCTACAAATGAAGACTACATTTGTGTCTTATTAATAAATGGTCAAAAGTGAAATAATTATAAACGTTGTCATTGCCAGCAATAGTACAACAATTCTGTTGTTGGCAATGACAACGTTTATAATTATTTCGTGAAAAATGCCAACGATAACGCACCACAACACCTATAAATGGTCCAAAACTGCAATCTCAAATACATTTTTGCTATGTTAGATGCAGCACCTTGATTTTCATCCCTTTTACAAAACTTAATTTCATACAAGAGATCTTCATATTGTAATAATATTGAATGTATGCATAACTCTGTTATTAGAGAGAAAAAGGGAGTTTCATGTTTGGTTTTACAAATTCAATAGAAGCGGACTGTTAAAAACGTTTTGAATTAACCGCCTTTAAATGTTGGCGATATGAGAGTAAAGTCATGCTTTGAAAATACACGTTTCCTTGGATTTTATGTTGTTTTTTCACGTTGCCTCTTCCTAAGACATATTTGTGCGGTTCCAATCTAATAAAACCGAACCGGATTTCTGATAAAACATAATATGCGAGGCGGACGCGCGGTCAGAACGGGTTAGGAATGTCAAGGGTTGCCAGAGGCTAAGTCTCGAAGGCTTCGGAAGGAGCGAAGGAAGGAAGGAAGGAAGTTTGTCGGGCGACGAGGTGAAAGCAAAGTTGAATAAGGAAGCAGAAGTGTAACTCTTCCATTCACCCACAAATTCACTTTCAGTTTTCAGCAAATGCTGACTTTTCCCTTTTTGACCAACATGAACACTCATTTCCATCCTATTAAAAATTAATTCATTTACTTTTGCTTTTAATGGGAGAGGACGGATTATGTATTGTGTGTGGAAGGTTTTACGGGATTTACTTGATTGAAAATTACAAATTAATAATTTTCTCTGGTATACTCTCTCAGATATCACCTTTTAATGACTTTCGGCAGTATGTACACTTCATGCTCCAACAATAATTATTGTATTCAAACAAGCTCCAGAAAATTAACGAAATAAAAGTTTCAAAAAACGGGAAGATTAATCCGAATTAGTGGAAGAACCAACAATACAAGTGAATATATATATATATATATATATATATATATATATATATATATATATGTAGTGCGTGTGTGTGTGTGTCAAGCTGACTTCTGGCTGTGTGAAATAAATTCTTAACCGGTCGAACACACATCCAGGTCCAACATTATTCATTATTTTTTTATTATTGATATTAATATTATTAATACTTCGCACAATAATGAGCAGATAAAATATAATAATGAACTTTTTAAATTTGAAATAAAAAATTCAAATGACAACGGAAATAGAAAATTAACTACCAAGTCTTGAGAATGGAGAAACCGCATATTATTTTCGTACTACAAATGGAGAGGTGAAGATGGTCAAAGTATAGTGAGAAGCAGATAGATTGATGGCTTGCCAGGTTGTGTAAACCTCTATGATGATGATGAACATAATAATGATGACGATTTCAATAGAAAAGCGGTACCTTTGTA